CCTATGCCAAAGTTATCCATCAACGACAACCTTCTCAACAGTTATCCACAGGGACAGGAGTGCAACAATGGTGCATTCAAAACAACAATGGTGTCACACTTTTCCTATTAGTACTAGATGATGCCGTAATTAGGAAAACAGTTGGTGGAAGGAGACGTTGGTGGAAGAATCGAGGATCGTGAGGATTATAGCTCTTGAGCAAAACCTACGACCAGATGCTTTTGTAAAAAACATCAATTATTTGAAAAATATATGTCTCTAAGAAAAAGGGAGAGTGTTGAATGAAAGCAATTACAAACCAAACAAAGTTTAATTAAACAAGGTTTCGTTTACAACAGCAGATCAGTTGTTTATAAAAATGAAGGAGGAAAATAAAACTCCCGCTGAAGTGATCGATGTTGATGAAGATGATTAGATTGATCCCGCAGATATGCCCACCCAGCCGAATACCAGCTGTGTACCAGATCACAAGGGCAAGCAGGTGGTCTGTGGTGATGATGAACAAGAAGTGGACAGTGAACTGAATGCGTTTGGATTAAATATGATCCACCTAATGGCCAAGTTGTATCCTGGAAAAACCATCATAGAGTATGGCCTTCCATCTATTCTGAAATTCGTGCAAGGTCTATGGGATATATCCTGTCTCGAGTACCAGCAAGAATATAACATGTATGCGCCTCACAGCAAATAATGGATAGCCCATGTGTTGTACAAACACTTAGCTACAAAACACGCAAACTGATCTTATGCCTAATGAGGTTTTATTCTAATTAGGTAACATGGTCCTCACGAGCCGGAAGTTTCCCAGCCTATGGAATGGATTTATAAACTAGCCTATATTTTGAGAAAGATAATCTAAAAAAATTGTTTAAAAAATTGTGTAAAAATTGTTTAGTGAAGTGTGAAACAATACAGTATCAGTTTAAGATGAAAACAACTGAAAGTGTCAACAAGTATCATAGAAAACGGGGAAGATGCATCATCAATGAACAAAAAAGCAATGCCTCAAGAAAAAAAACGAAAAAAAGATTGGGTTGTTAGATTCTTTAGATTAGATCTACTGTCAGTAAATTATTTGTGTACTTAAAACCTTCGTTCTGTGAGGATTACACAGTTTATTATTTAACTACTAACGATATCATTATTTCATTAGTTATACGTAACTACAAGTTTTTTACGACTCCATCTTAGAAGAATATGACGTCCAAATAATAAGACTACTGGATACCTATGCCAAAGTTATCCATCAACGACAACTTTCTCAACAATTCTCCACAGGGACAGGAGTGCAACAATGGTGCATTCAAAACAACAATGGTGTCACACTTTTCCTATTAGTACTAGACGATGCCGTAATTAGGATAACAGTTGGTGGAAGAAAACGTTTAATCCAGTAGGTTAAATATAACCGTCTGGAGGATCTGTATTATGCATAGTACATTTTTCTACTCTCTCAAATATTAACAGACATGCAGTTTGAACTGAACATGTTAAAGGATGAGGGGAGGCTGCAGGATTAAAGAGAAATATCCCCAAAACAAATGTTTGGTGGACAACACACATAACATAGGCCTGCAGTAATTGGACGTTACAGGACAAATCATAGAAGAGGCCTTAAGTGGTTTTATGGCCGTTCATTTTCCTGAAAGGTCCAAGAGTGGTGGGGCTAAAGATCACGTAAAGACATACATTACAATTCAAATCCCCCCCATCATGAGTACCTACAAGAACCAGGCGCTTTTTTGAACCCGTCAATGCCCTGGGCACAACTAATAATAGCGCCCCTTTGCAATATATAACATGGTGTCCACCAACCAGGAAAACTGGGAAATCCATGAATTATGCGTGAGTTGTTTAAACCGGGAAATATGCATGAAATTTGTATTTCTACCTGGAATTTTTGATTTACCGCGATCGCGCATCACTACAGTGACGTTTCCGTGACCCCGAGAGACGATAGTATGTCTACACATGGCCGATCAGAATTCCCCGCCATTGCAGAAGACAATTATGATATCAACAGAGTCACGAGGGATGATCAGAATATTGCCGCGATTGTGCAAGACGATAATAATGTCCACTCAACTGCGGGAAAAGATCAGAATTTTACCTCATTTGCGGAAGACGGTGATGATCTCCGGAGATGATTGCTATTTTGCCGCAATCGCGGGAGTCAAAGTCAAAACATTCTATATTCGTTATAGTGTCACATTACATGAACTTGAATAGTCATGGACAAAATTCAAAATTGCTTACTGCTAATTAAATACATAAAAAGAGTACTAAAATTACTTTACTTTTAGCCTACTTTTAACAAAACCATGACTTTAAGGATTACAATATTTGGAATTCTAATTAAGTTAGGCCTAACTGTTTTTTACTAAAGCCGCGTTTACACCGGGGTTTGAAACACAAGTTGCAAACAGAAATTGCAAACATCTCTAAAAAGACAAAACATTTCGCTGTTGCAAACAGTTTTTCAGTGTTTGCAACAGAAATTTTTGTTTCCACTTGAAGTCAGTAAAGATCAAAGGGAGTTGCAAACTCTTTGTTTGCAACACTAGTTTCGGTCAATATGAGCCGTTGAAACACGAAACAGAAACATTTCTCCACCATCCCCTACGCTACCACATCCACTCTCACTCACGTGATCACTCGCACCACCCTGTGTCTCGACTAAGTGTTAAATTAATCGGGAAAATGCTGTTTGGCTCTCAATAAATTAACACTAACCTCAAATGACAAGGTCGTCTAATTTAAAAATAACAATAACGTCTAATGCAAATTAAAAGGGTTAAAAGTCCTTGTAATCTTTAAAAATGAATAATAATTCAATTTGATGATTTATACAATCACCGATGTTCACCCAGCATCGTCTCGGCCTATGTTGCTTTAACAACACGATACAAGCCGCCGGGGCTAAAATAACATCTTCGACACTTGATATCCTCGGAAGGACTGATCCGAGGAACCAGAACAAGGCAAGTCATAATCAAGGTCAAAATTATTTCAAACATTTTCATGAAACATGGAAACAAATCATGAAATAAAAATTGCAAACATTTATTTGAAACTACCGTTTGCAACTGCCGTTTGCAATAAAAGTTTGCAACTTTTTGTTTGAAACTCCGGTGTAAACGCCGCTTAATACTGAAGAATTCTGTTACTGAGTAGTAGGGAGTTCTTAAAAAATACTCTTTTAAGAGCTGCTTGAATTTATTAAATTTTGTTTCTTTTCGGATGTGAGCTGATATAGACTGGAGACATTTTAGCCCTATGTAAGATGTCTTTTTGGTGTAAAATTCTAGATTATGCCGAGGTAGGTTAATTTTTAATCTTGTGTTATATACTAATTGTTCTGTTGAGATTGATGATAGTTGGATCTGTTTTGCATAAATTATTGTTTCATAAATGTGAAGACTATACACTGTTAATATTTGTAATTCACAAAAGATGCTCTTGACTGGCTCTTTCTTTTTAAGATTTTTCATCTCCCTGATTTTTTTTCTGCTTAATTAGTACTTTATCTAAATTATTTTTTGTTGTTGCCCCATATAGAACAATTCCATATGAAATATGTGAATGTATTAATGAGAAATAAACAACTCTTAGAGTGTTTAAACTGCATATTCTGGACATCTGTCGCAGAGCATGGATGCCAGAAGATACCTTTTTAACCACATGGCCCTCCCAAGATAGATGTTTATCGATAATTAGTCCAAGAAATTTTGTTTGCTTTACTTGGTTTATTCTTTCTGATTGTATGCAAATGTTTGGTTCAAAATTTTGTCTACATTGTTTAGTGAAAAATGATATAAAATTTGATTTTTCTGTGTTAATAAGCAGATTTTTTTCGGTCAAGGAATTCTTTCGTGGATTATTCTTTAGTGTGGAGGCGATTACTATGTCCACACGATCCATTATAATGATGTTACGGTTGCGAGTGGTGATCAGAATTTGCCTACAATCGCACAAGACGGATAATTTTCACACAACCACGGGAAAATATCAGTATTTTGCCTCATTTATGGTAGACGATGATAATCCACTCACGCCGTGTCTATTCGGTAAATCGGCCCTGACGACAACTACTTCCTATAAGAGAAGACCTAATATTGGTTTCAGTAAACACCTTCATTGAGTTTTAAGAAACTTAGGCATGATAAAACAAATTTGCTATTAAAATATATATTTAGCAAAATAGAGCCAAAAATTGTTTAATAAGTTACTAAGTTAAATCAGGTCTAACTCTTTGCAAATGACCTATTACTGACTTGGAGAGAATCCTATATTTGAAGTTTATTATTTGTAATGGTGAGTTTATGGTTTTAATGAGATTCAAGTAGGCCTACCTACAGATTTTTTCATCAAATTTAGTAAAAGTAAGTTTCCACGTTTTGGGATTTGGATGTCACTGGCGGAGCTCAGTATTTGCTTGTTTGTTTTGCATAAGAGTTAGTTTTGCTGGAGACTATAAGCCGTTGGTATTGCTGTAGACAATGTTTAATTGGTTTACTTATAATAACCGTAGGCCTACTGTGAGTCCTGCAAGCAAACAGCTAAACCCCGAGAAACAAATCTAATGGTCAAAATAAAGAGAAATTTTTTGAAAAATCGCTTTGTTTACATTCACATTTTTATTTTTTATATTTAAAGCCCTTCTCTTTATGAAACTTATCATGTATCTCAACGTATAAGAGACCTGTATTAGAAACAAAAATTAACTTGGTCCAATTCCAAATTTCTAAATGGCGGCTATTTAAATTTTATATTTGAAATGGCAGATTTTATGATAAATATGTCAAGAACATTTATTTAGCATTTAAAATTTCCTATCAAACAATTTCAAGTAAAAAAAAAATAATGAAAAATAGCTTAAATATTTGGCCTATGAGTTCTAGTTATAAAGTAAGGCAAAAAATGTGCAACCTTAGCCTTTAACTACCTCAACGTAAGTTCACACATCTTGGCCAACTAAAATCATCTGCCAAAAACATGACTAGAACTAAAAATGAATCACATTAACAATTTTATTGAGTTACAAATCTAAGTTCAAACTGTGGGCCCTAGATACTTGAAAATGTTATTAGCAGTAGTCTATAAGCAGTTTAATGCAAAATTATGAATTCTCAGGTTGTGGTTTTAGGAGTAGGGAGTAGGAAGGGGTTAAGTTTAGAAGGTTTTATAGTCGTTGAATAAATATTTTTTGGTGTAGAAGTCTTGAAGTAATCGGGTTCTTGATTCAACAGCAACACCATAGCACATCACAATCTGCAAACAAATTCATGAAAGTTAAGTGATATGAACTGGTCATATACTCAGTGGACAGGACGTTTAAAAATGGACCATGTGTTTAGACATTGCTATTACTACGATATTGACAAACAAGATGTTTATTTAAAAAAAAAGAATTTTATTTTCAACCAAATTAAGGGGAGGCAGTAAGGTAAATATTTGTTTGCCTTTTTTTAATTATTTCACCAAATTATAGAACTTTTCTTCCAGGACAGAATGATATACAGTCTAACCTTGATATAACGAACCTCGATTTAACGAATTCCTTGATATAACAAATTTTTTTGAATCCCCTAGAACTCTCCATAAGACACAATGTATGTTTTACCTCTACATAACGAACAACCCATATCAACGACCTTGATTTAACAAATTTTTCATGATCCCGGCTAAAATAAGACACCTCAATATATAGCGAATTTATCATTGTCAGAACCTCTACATAGCGAATTTATCCTCTACTTAACAAATTGTCTGTGCCTCTCCCTCGATACAACGAACCCCCCACCCCCAATTATTGTTTTTAGAAAAATCAGTTTCTTCATCAAATGAAATGGAAAGGTGACGTCAACGCTTGCGCTAACATTCGTCTGCTCCGTTTACACATCCCTGTCTGCTGTCGTCGCTGCATGCGTGCTATGTTACAACTGAAAACTGATTTCATTCACTGAGGACTGAGATGACGTAATGTTTAGTGAAATGTGATTGGGTAAGTAACTATGGTGACTTGTACAATTTTTGGATGAAGAGAAACGTTGAGAGAAACCTAAGAGAGAAAAATAATAGAAGAACAAAGCAAAGATAAAGAATAGCAACATCGGTGTATTAACATTCCTTTTACGAGTGTTTTTATTATCTTTAAGTTGGCTATGATTATACACTTTTATAACGACTTATCTATAATTTTTTTTTATTTTCAATACGATTTGCTTAAACTAAGGCAACACCAATGTATAGTTGATGATTATTACGGTATTGACATTCCTCTGTTGTGATTTAAAGCAGTACTGTAGCCTACCGGCCTATCACAAGCAGCTTACAAAACTATCTACTGATTTCTTTTGTTCTTTGAGTGTTTTATTGCTATACAATGCAGTGTTTAAGGTTGGTTAGAGTAAGCTGTGATTTTAAACTTACAGTTTACACCTGCACCAAGGTCAATGACTAGAAATGTCATGATTGCGCAATGTTAAAGATCCCTTTAGTACCCCAGATAATCGAGGTTCTACTTTACAATGTAAACACTGTACTTTAAAGTATTGTAGCCTAGGCTACTTTATTTGTGTTTTAATGAGGTCAAATTCCGACCTATATTGACTGATGCTGGTTCTGAACCTCGACTTAGCGAAATTCCTGCAAACCTAACCTCAATATAACGAACCTCGTTTTAACGAAATCCTTGATACAACGAATATTCAGTTCGGTCCCTTCAGATTCGTTATACCGAGGTTGGACTGTATAACACTTTGGTGCTAAAAATATTTACCCCTATAAAAAAATCTGGAACAAATGCATAGGCGAGGCCTGAATTCTTTTGAAATAAGGTTTTAGTTTTGATATATTTGTATATTTTTTTTATTAAATATGTAAGTTACCTTGGTGATGGGGACAGCAATAGCTTTGAAAGAAAGAAAACAGATAACATACATTTTGTGTAAAAATTTAACTCCCTATCCCTAGTAGTTCCCGTTTAAATATTCCAACCAAACTACATAACAACAACATGACAAACATAACACAACAAAAATAACATAACATAAAATAAATTACATAACATGACAAAAATAACAATTTGTGGAAAACGGCGTATAACTTAGGCCTAGAGGTAGGCCTATAGAAAATATGCAGTATGCGTTATTTTTGCCTACCTTAAACATTTCAGCCCCATATTTTCCTGCAATAGCTTTTTCCAGAGTGGTAAACACACTGAGTTTTTTTAGGGCCTGATTCCATCCTACTTGGTAAAAAATATATATAGGCTATAACTTATCACAAGAAATTTGAAAAAATCTTAGTACTTCCAACATTTTTTTATCTAAGCTATTTATTAATTTAAAAGCCTGAAAAAAACTCAGGACATGTGTCAAAGGTAGGCCTACAAAGAACTGACAAAAATTTCAGAGAGATAGGCCATATAGTTTTTCCAAAAAGGTACCTTACGTTAGCATTACAGGGATAGGGATTCCGCCTCCCCTTAGCCTAACCTTTTAGGAGAGGTAGTCGAATATATCCGCACAAGTCTTTGACATATAAGGACGGGTGGTGGATGTATCCTCATATGGGTTGTTATGTTCCGAACGGGAAATGGATGTAACAACCTTATCTTGGGTCAGCCTGGCTGGTATTTTTGCAGTCGGGCTACCACAGCGCTAACTTACTCCCCTGCAACTGTTGCGACCTTCAAAGTGACAAGCCATCCTCTCCCACTCAATCCCCATCCCCACTATGCTGCGCGTGCAACACTACGTTAACTTTAATGGCACTAAAAGCTACAGTTGTTGTCTGTCTAGCAACATGAAATAGTTACACAATGAAGTAGTTTACACAATCGCTTGTAACATAAATAGTCCTGGTTTTCAATGACGGGTGGCAAATATATCCACACCATTTTTGTGTGTATAAGCTATAACAAGTTAAAAATTATTTAGAGATAGTATAAGCTGTTTCATTGTGTTTATTTGATGAAGGCTATACATACAGGAATAAAAAACACAAATGAAAATTATCTTTTCTTATTTGATTCATTTTTGCCCGACCTAGGCCATAAAAGTCGCCTGTTGGGAAGAGTTCAAAACTTCTAAAAAATTTGTTCAAATATCAACATTCAATTCTATAATAGGCCTAACTTACTTATGCCATAATCAGTCCTACTATTTCTTTATTGAAGATATCCATTCAGTTGAATAATAAGGTTAAATAGGTTAAAAAGTTTAACATTACTAGGCCTATCCTGGAGGCAAAACAGAGAAAATTTCAAAACAATCGCCATTACTGAAACCGATGTAGCCCTCAACTTAGTTACAATATTTTTACTACGCCAGGACTAGTGTATGCATAGGCTAATAAGAAGCAGATGGTAAGAAATCAACACTCTGTTAGTTATCTTTATAAATGTACATTAAGTTTATAGGCTAACAACTTAACTAGACCAAGGCTTCAACTTGGTTTAGCTGCTATAGTTCTTTAATCCTTACAAAGCTGATATCGATAAAGGGATGCTATCAAGAGGGATGTAACCAATTTTCACTTCTAGTACAAGCACTTTTATCCTGCGAGAACCACATGTGCAACATTAAACTGTACTTATTTTCAACACGAACATAATATCTTAGTCTGCCATTTAAAAACTCAAAAACTGAACTAACAGGGAGAAGGTTCTAGAGAATGTTCTCACTAAAAATCCACAAATCAATCAGAATGCTCCAAGTTAGAAATGAATATTAAGTTACTCATTTGGTTGTTTGTGCCAACAGATAAGTTAGGCTAGGCTAACTTATGGAAGTTTACCCAAACTTCATCCAACGCTTCGACGTCGACGAAATAGAACTCTTTAAGATCTGCTAACAGCCTAAGTTATTTAAAAGACAGTGCCCACACTCGCTAGGCCTAAAGGAGTTTTTAAGTTTCCCAATTCAAGTCCCTGGGTACAGTTTCTTAACTGGGCTATGCTAATATCGATTGAAACCATCGAATTGAAAATATTGATTAATAATCAATATTTTAAAATATATTTATCATCAAATTAAACTATCATAACCTAACCTAACCAACCAAACTTGCTGATGGTGAAAAATCGCACGAAGGTTTACTAATCGAATCGATAGTTTCAATCGATATTAGCATAGCCCAGTTAAGAAACTGTACCCAAGTCATGTGTTTATTAAAAGTTTGCAAAATATGTGTAGGCCTAGTCAACAATTTTTATATTTTTAATGACGTCATCACTCCCAATCCTCCATAGGCCTAGGGTAAAAGATGGAGAACCTGTAACGAGGTTAAGCTTTGAAATATTACCTTTAAGGGTTTCGTCTTCTTCACTTACCACAAATATTTATTATGAAACAAAATCCAACTCCTAAATCATTAATTAAGTTTACATGGAACGAAAAGGCTGGAAGCTAAGAGATGGAACAGTAACTAAAACTAAAACTAACAGTGGGCGTGGGCTGGCGCTGGCAGTCGAGGAGGAAAGGAAAAGAAAAGGAGGAAGCCATGAGATGAGCCATCGCCATCAGTGCAAGTGATTTTTTTTTTTGTGTTCGACTGTTCAATATGGTTTGAGTTCGAGAGTAGAGAAGGAGGGAGAGAAAAGGGAAAGAAAGTAATAATTGACAAAAGAGAAATCAATTCTAGCATTGAGTATAAATCATGTTATTGTTATTCGTATTATGAGTAAATCTATGGCCCGCCCACTGCACAGCATCAAACCTGCACACTTAGCCAATTTCATTTTATGTATGATTCAATTATATTTATTTATTTCCACGGTATCATCATTTTACAAAAAGGTACAGTAAGTACCCAAGTAGCAAAAATCGTTGGCAAATCGTTGGCCCAACGTTTATGTCGATCGTTGGCCAACGGTATGTTTTGGCACTCAGTCTAACGGTGGGCCAACCAACAATTTTTTGCGGGATGGCCAACCATCCCATTGGGCATAAACATAAAAAAACACAAAATAATAAAGATTTTGTATGCAAAGCATAATTATGAGTTGAGTAAATTGATTAAATAGTTCATAAAAACTTATTTTGAAAATAAAACGAAATTAAATTTTTGGCCGGGACGGGTCTCGAACCCGGTACCTTCGACATGTGAGCTTCACACCTTACCTCTGAGCTAACTGTGCTTGATGATCAATGGTGTTTTCAAGTGGTGAAAGAGTAGCCGACAGGTGCAATGGTCACGAGGATACTAGTATTTGAATATAGATTATTTAATTACCATTAGATTAGTAGGCTACTGTTATAATTGATTGTTATATAATTAATTAATCTTTTCTCTATAACTATTAAAGACTTGCTTAAATAAGTTAAAGAATATAACAAAAAAATAATTATAATAATTATTATATGTTAAGCAGGTGTTCCCCACTGTATTTAGTATCACAACATCATCTGACTACATTCATTATTGATCCAAATTTTTACAATATTTGTCTTATATTCTGCTGCCATAACATTTATGTACTTTTAAATAAATCTATTTGTTAAAATTCGTTTTAGAATGTTTTATACTTAAGCCCAACGAATGCCCAACGAAGGCCCAACGATTCTTTCCTTTGTAGGGCCAACGAATACCAGTTTCCGTTGGGCCAACGTTGGCAAATCGTTACAATTTCTGCCAACCATTTCCCAAACATGCCGACCATTTCCCAACGTTGGGCCAACGATGTGTGCTACTTGGGTAAGCTATATCAAACTAAAACTATTAACAACAAATAAAGGCTATGACTGAATAAATAACAATAACAAGAAAAACAAACCAACAATGAAGTTAGAAACCATGATAAATTGCGTGAAACAATAACCAAACAACACTTAAATACACGGTTTGGAATTCCCTAAGCAAGACTTAACATAACAAAAAAGATCTAAATAGACAAAAATAATCAGCTGATCGAAGGTTAGAACAAAGTTCCGTTAACATAATGTAGGCATTAACTATAAAGTATTTACAGAGAAGAGGCGACACAAATTAATTTGGAACGGAAAGCAGCCCTGCTGGAATGGGGAAAATCCAATACTGCACCAACCTCGTATTGTAGTGCCGCCACTCAAACGTATCCTTGGATCTTACGGATAGGAACGTGGAATGGTATTCCTCCCAACAGCTCAGGGCAGTCGACAGTTCCATTTTTCAATCCTCATGAGATAACAAAGCGTCCGAAATTTTCCTCCCATCTTCCAAGCTGCATAGATCAGGGGTGCCCAGCCCCCCCCCCAAAGGCAATGGCGCATGCCCCCCCAAACCAAGCCTAATAAATGCCCCCCAAAGAATGACATCCACACTACACCCTTCAATTTATAAAATTAGTCAGTATGTATATGTCAGTAAAAACGAACACCTAGCGTGTTTTTTTAGGCTTCACAATTGACTCCAAACAAATAAGGACTATACCACAAACATTTGCGATTTTTAAAACAGAAGCAGAATTTTTATCGCTATTGAATTACAGTTTGTAATTATCAGAGGCGGCGTTTAGGGGGGGCCAGGGGGGGCAGTTGCCCCACCACTTTCACAAGGAATATTTATCAAAATTATAAAATAGAATTATGTCAACGATAAATCTACATTTCGCCCCCCCCCCCCCCCCCCCACCTCTCAAGCCCAATCGCCGCCACTGTGTAATTTCCCCAAGTCCACGGCAAATTTGCAAACTTCTATTCTCTAGATAGCAACCAGCAAAAACTCTGAGAACGGACTTCACGGTAACAAGTCTTTGTCATATCCTGCGATTATGGTCGTGGTTATCTCCATTGATCACTGCAACTTTGTGATTATTTCTCGTGTATTATAGACACGTGGTCGTTATCTTATGCATAAGTACACGGTTTTCGTGAGACAACTACCTGAAGAGAGAACAAATTTTGATTTGTGGTGAATTATATTGTAATTAAAAACTTACAATTTTTCGGATAAAGAATGTATGTAGAATTCACAACCCTTTCCCCGTTGAGTTGAACACCCCTACACATTTTTGCATTAACATTTTGCTTAAAATTATTTTTTTTCATCTCGTCTCTTAAGGGCAACATCTATTACTATTGAGTTTATAAAGAAAACACAATAGGTAAACTGATTCCCGTATTTTAAAACAAAACAAATTTCACACTCATTCTTTTGCTCAATTTTGGGTAGATTAATCTAAATTCTGTGATTTTGGTTACAATCAAGTTAAAATACGCCCTGATGCGTCCCTATCTCTATCGATAATTAAGAAAACAGCTGGATGTGGTTCATAGGATAAGCGGCTGGGCATGTTTTACTTGAAATGAAAAAATGAAAAATTTCATCTCTAGGGCATAAGGTGACTCTTATCACTTTTTATCTGCCCGTCTGATTAACTCCATTGGGGCTAAAAAGGCTTTTTACTCCAGAGGGAGTAAAAGAGCCACATTAGACTCGCAAATGTATTTATTAAAAATGACTTTTTGCTGCAGTATGACAAAACTACTCGTAATTTGCAAATTTGTTTTATGCAGTGTTATCGAGTTTAATGGCTTAAATAATAAAATCTAAATCAGTTTGCACATCGCACATCTACGAAGACGTGAGTTAAAGTAAAATAAGTGGGAGTGGGTCTTTAAAAACGATATTGGGAACAAAATTTGCATATATTGCATTAAATATATACTATTCGAAAAATACTTATAGGCCTACCTCATTATATAGATAGGATCATTGACTATATAGTCAATGATAGGATTCATGTAAATAGGAGTGGGTTTATATCAGGGGGCGCCAAAATTACTCTTGCAAGTCCAGTCCAGCAAAAAACACCTTGCACCGGCCTATACTATAGTCAAACCTTCAATAGTATAAATAAAATAGTCACTAATTTGTTTGATACATATAATAAAACTAATGAGGTACATTTTGCAGTGTATTATACAGTCCGAATATACGGTAACATTGTTGTAGTATCCTTTGCAAACCTGCAATGACAAATATATGTAATGTATTCTAATTTACAAAGATTAGTGATGCATTGATTTAATATTGTTTCAATAATGATGGGGGTTATCTTGTATACTGAAACCAGATGTTTTGCATTAGGCCTAAATAAATTGTGAAATTATAAAATCTTAGTGGTAAATATAGTATAATGTCAGAATCTTACTTCATCAAACTTTGGAACGAGTTATATTGCTGATTTTGTAAATTGTATCCTTAAGGATTAAATTACAAGAGTATGACAAAAAAGCTAATAAAATCAATAATAGCCTTATTTAAGAAATATGATCTGAATGAGTTTTATAAGCTCTATTTAAGTAGTTTTATATAACTTACAGTGTCATTTGATAACAACTATGTAACCTCCCTATTGTAGCCTACTAAATATTAGAATAAGTATTCTACGCAATGTAAAAATTTTCAAAAGCAATGACTAAATAAATCAATTATTTATCGTGATTCATGCAAAATTATAAGGTTCAAATGTAAAAAACACGATTCATACGAATTTTGCCAAACTCATAATTTACATATGGCTGTGACAGACAGCGAGACAGGGTTGCCAGTTGAGCCACTAGGCCTACCAACCGTCTTCTTAACCAGAGCAATACATTTACGTATTGACGTGAAAATTGGTGTTGGTCTAAACGGCAAACTTGACATTGGTAATCCTGATTAAAGGATTTTAAATAAATAAACAGTATTGTTGTGTATGATTCTAGTAGTATATATTTTTTTATTTTTCTGTAATTTTTTGCAGGGAATAAAATCCTTCACAAAAATCAAAATCCCAACCGAAAAAAATTATGCCCCCCCAAAAAAATTCGTATGGCGAAAGTTGCACCATGCCCCCCCCCCTCTTCTGGGCACCCCTGGCATAGATTGAACTGGGATCTGACGAGATTCGCTGGAGCATCAAGATAGCGATATCCCATTCTACAATTAAGAATCCTAATGAATCGGACTTGAACTCTCCAGCGAAGATACGAGTCCAGTCTGATATGGACCCACACAACACAAGAAAATCCTTGGAATGACCTGGGGATATCCCAGTGGGATGGGGATATCCTCTGTATATCCCGCACAAAAGTCCTCAGAGTTTCCTGGGGAACTCCCTGGGATATCCCTATGTCCACCCAAATCCTGATCCCTGGGATATCCCATCAGGATATCATACATAAATACACAAAATAATAAAGATTTAGTTTGAAAAGCACTTTTATCAGTTGAGTATTATGATCAAATAGTTCATAAAACAAATTTTGAAAAAAAAACTAGAAGTTTTTTTCACCCCAGACGGGTCTCGAACCGGATACCTTCGACTTATGAACCTCTTACCTTACCTCTGAGCTATCTGTGATTGTGATATTACTAGTTTTCAAGCTGTTTAAGAGGAGCCGACAGCTACAAAAATGGACGCAATACTTAAATATTTGTGATACTATGATTCTGTTTAGGCATCAAGTTATTAAATTGTTTTTTTTTTCTGGGAG